GTTTGACCATATTGCCCAGGCTGATCTCCAACTCTTGACCTCAAGTGATCCGCCCGCCTCGGCTTCCCAAAGTGCTGGGATTACAGGCGTGAGCCAGTGCGCCCAGCCTGGAATCCTCATATATTGCTGGTGGAAAATGGTACTGTCTCTGGAAAACAGTTGGACAGTTCCCCTTTAACATAGTTACTGTATCTTTCTGCTGGTTTTTTATTCTCTTAAGATGAAAACTTTTTCATCAGTTTCCTCTGAAAATAAAAGGACCTCAAAGCAAATTATATTTGGATATGACCTTAAGATGGCAGCACAAAATTACTACATAGCCATTTTACCTCTGTCTCAAAAAAGAGATTAAAAAAAATGTTTTACTGCATTCCATGCTTGGAATACAGTGCAAAAAATCAATAAACATAAACCTAATGATATATCTTGCCCCCTATCACCAAAAGATGAGATCAGTCCTGCTAATAACAGTATCTCAGAGATTAGGAGCACAAGCGTCTGAATTAGAAAGACTTAGCTTTGAATTTAGGGCACCCTCAATTATTATTGTGCGATCTTGTGAAAGTCATGTAACCTTCCCTGGGCCTCCAATTTTTCATTTGTAAGTTAAAAATCACAATAATTATATCATATGGTGGTTGTGAATATTAAATAAGAATGTATTCTAATTGCTCTGTACAATAATGGCACATAATCAATGCTTAATAAATTTATTTTTATTTATTTTTATTTTTTTGGAGATGGAGTCTCACTCTGTCGCCCAAGCTGGAGTGCAGTGGCACGATCTCAGCTCACTGCAACCTCCACCTCCCTGGTTCAAGCAATTCTCCTACCTCAGCCTCCCGAGTAGCTGAGATTACAGGCATGTACCACCATGCCGAGCTAATTTTTGTATTTTTAGTAAAGACAAGGTTTCACCACGTTGGCCAGGCTGGTCTCAAACTCCTGGTCTCAAGTGATCTGCCCGCCTTGGCCTTCCAAAGTGTTAGGATTCCAGGAAATTAATTTATTTTTAATAACAAATCATTGTTATTCTTAATCATGGTGTTGAAGCAGCACAGGACACATGTCAGGAGAGAAGCAGTAGTACCATCAGTGCTATTTGTGTGACCCTGGGCTAGTACACTATCTCATCTTCATCTATAAGGCCTCTTCTGTTAATATTAAATCACGGTAACTGTTTAATATGCATGTGTAACACAAGTCTTACTTGTTTTCTCTAATATAAAACTGAAAACTCTCTGTCTTTTCTTGTTTTTTTAAGAGACATGGGTCTCACTAAGTTCCCCAGGCTACATTCGAACTCCTAGGCTCAAAAAATCCTTCTGCCTTAGCTTCTTGAGTACCCGGGGCTCTGTAGGGCCATGTCATTGTGTCTAAGAAATGGAAGTAATATGTTTTACTATGACACGACACATATCAATTTATATCTTGTGATACCCAACAAGAATTTTAGTGTAATCTAAGATTATAATTACAATTAAAATATGCATATTAAACTCAATTTTTTTTTTTTTGTTAAAACTCTTGGGATGCAAACATAATGGCTTTTAAGGAGATTCACGTATTATTTAAAATATCACACCAGCCACTTTTAATTGTACAACTACAGGTCAGTTATCATAGTTGACAAGTGATAGTTAAAATTTCACTGTGCTTTCATTTGTGTGTGAGATAAACAAAAGGTTAAAAGTAAGAAGATACAAAAGATAACTCTGGATAATTCATAAAATAGACACTGAACTTCTAAGTAATTGAAAGCTAAATGGAGTTAGACAGCCAAAATCAACCCTAAAAGATTCATTGCTTATGCCTATGAAAAGGCCATATATTTTTTAAAAAATTATGATGACTTAGAAATAATCTTATTTCAAATTTAATGCATAAAGCACTTCAAACATATTTCACACCTATTTCACAGATAGCTCTGAATGTACTCGGAACATAGAAACAATAAGAAACATAAAACAAGTCTTTAAAATGTAAATAGACTAAAGTTTAAAGGATTATTCACTCTGGAATTTCATGGAATAATGATTTACATTAAGAGGAACAGAGGTGGTATAATGTATTAGAGAGCAGAGCATTTCTGATACACCAATATTCTGTTTGTGTTTGGTGTTATAATGTTTACTCAGTAGCTGAAACATTTATTCATAGTCAGTTATAACCCAGGAAATCAACCATTGAATAAACTGCTATTAATTTTGCACCAGAGATTCATGTTTGAATGACCATGCATTTCATAGGTTTAAATACCAAAAGACTAATTATCCCAAAGGCCCCATTAAAGGATAGCATAGATTGCAATCAAAAACAATCCTAACACTGCTCAGCTCAAAAATGATCTTCAGCTTTTGATGATAAAGGATATTTTTATTTCTCTACCTACTGCACTCACTAAGAGTATAGGTCATATATAGATATATATTTATATATACATATATATATGTGTATATGTATATAAACACACCTATATAGACCTCGCAAGCAATTTTCCCCAAAACCTTAGAAAAATAAACCTGAACAGTTTCTTATATCCAAAGATTCATTATTTTATAAAATAAAACACAAATTAAAAGTTTATCTTCCTAATCTCTGTTAAATGTTGAAATTTTCTTTTTCCTTTTAAATAGTATTTTCACAAAATGTCCTTATTAGCCTTATTCTAATAGCTTCACTTCACATTCAGAATGAAAAGCGCAAGAATAAAATAATATTTTTTTTCAATCTAGTTTTTAAGTTTCTAATTGCTCATTCTGCAAAACAATGCTGAGATTAAAGTAGTAAGAATGATGAGACTCAGAACATGTGACTCCAAAATATGGCACGTTGGCATTTGAGAAAACAGCAAAAGCAGGAAGGTAATTCTCATCTTCACCCTGCCTTTTTCTCCTGATGCAAATCAAACAACTGAGCAAGAATTTTCTAACTTTCCCCTGAATCAAGTCATAATATTCTCCTTAAAGAATGTCCAATTCTCAATTCTATACTACCCAGAAGGATAGTGGAATGTGAATATTCAGATCATTGGGAAGGCATAAATGAACAAATTAATTTTTAGCGTTTACATCAACCTAATTCACATCTCCCTATACCTCGAAGGAAGGATCCCAAGACACAGAGATGCCCAGAACAATCTGAACAAATGCCTTGCTAAGTTCCCCCCAATGTACTACCATTAGATAATTCCCCCTTTGTCCAGTTGCACTTTCCCACGACTGTCTCCTCTTTATCAAACCTACACATAAAAAAATACAAGTTTTTCTGTTTCTTGGGGTCATAACCAAATGCTGCTATCTCACATAAAACTTATACAAAATAAATTTTTGTTTTTCTCTTGTTAACCTGTCTTTTGTTATAGGGGCCTGAGTCATGAACCTAGCTATAGATCAGGAAAGAAATACTTCCTTCCCTACAGAAACCACACATAATCATAATAGACACCTTTAGCCAACTACAAATTTAGCCGACTTATAGGGAACATTTGTAATGTGTTCTTGTGTTGCTCAGGAGACTTAGAAGACACCAAATCCAATCAAAGTGATCAGTATACATTTCCAGAACGAGAGTATATCTAAAGAAAGTTGAGTCTACTCAACTGCATTTTCATTCCTCTGAAGTGTTAGAGTACTAACATTTATTAATCAATGTTTTCTCCTAGATAGTAAAATTCTAGACAAGGACTGTATTATATTCGCTTTGTTCACTTATAATTGTTGAGGATATGAAGATAGTCATGTATAGAATTTACAAATGGCATAGCTGCAAGAAAAAGAATTTGCCAGCCAGAATTAAGCAAATGATTATAGCTGGCACACAGAGGTATTTCCATTCATTAAAAAATCTACTGTATTGTGCTTTGCACAATCTAAGTTTGTCCCAAGCCTATCCAGTTCCTTTTGCTATGATTTTATGCTCATTAAGTCACTTTCTCATTATAAATCCAATTCTCAATTCTATACTACCCAGAAGGATAGCAGGTGTGAATATTCAGATCACTGGAAAGGCATAAATAAACAAATCAATTTTTACTATTTATATCAACCTAACTTAAGAATTTTGGTTTAAAGAAGTAAACACCCTGATATTATGTTCACCTTCAAATTAACTGATAAAGTTTTGTTTTTAAACTGCCATTTATAAAGAGATACCCTCAAGAACCAAATTAATCTCATACCCATTAATTTGGTTCTTGAGGGTATCTCTTTATAAATGCAGATGGACTTTCTTTTTTAAAATGCTGTGAAATGTATACATGTAGAATAAAGTTTACAGCCAAACATTTTCATTGTTCTTCCTGCCTTCTTTGTTTCTTTCCTTAATTTCTTATAAAACAAAACAAAACAAAAACTAGAGAGCTTGCTTCTGAGGTTGTTCTCTGTCATACAAAATCCATAAAGATAGGTATGGTTTATTGCTTATAAATTACAACATGCTTACAAATTAGAGCGTGTCAGCCAGAAACACAGCACATTTACATTGGGATTACAGTTTTCGCAATAAGTAAGAGAGTAAGATAGTCACAATCATGCCTTGAGCCAATAAACAGCTTTACTGAGGAACAGAAGCATGATATTCCAAGTATCCTGGATTACTTGTTGTTTTGTAAGACTGATTTAGTTTCATTTCTGAACGACTTGCTACTCAAATATGGGCTGACCCAATGAAAAAATGAAATGTTTTCATGCCACCGCTATGAAAAATAAATAGGGATTTTATAGATAGGGATTTTATAGATTATACCCAACTCACCTCTTAGTGATGATGAAAAAGTTCACACCTCAAGTTGCACCTCCTTCTTAGTCTGTCTTCCTCTTGTTTGACAGAGCATTGGCCCTGCCAACGCTTTTATGTTTTTCTGTTCCCACCCTTCTGCCCCCCATGAAATTCCTTTATTTCAGTAAGGTACATTATCGTTTTTCTATCAGGTGTCCATGCATGCCATCAAAACACAGACATTCAACAACTTAACACATTTATAAAAACGCAGAAAGTACCTGGACATAGGCTCTGCAAGAGCGCTCTCTTTTCTGAAGCTGAATCCATTAAGACAGCAGATTAAACACAGAATAGAAAAAACAAGTTAGTGACAGAAGAAAACAAGAAAAATAAAAGAACACATCTACACAAAACACCTTATTTTGTCATTCACTGCTTTTCAGAAGAAAATGAAAGCTAAGCAGCAGCAAAATGTAAGCAAGCAATGGCTTGAAAAATAGTAGCCAACATCCTTTCAGAACAACCTAAGTGAAAACTGTATGGTATGAAGTTGTTAATGATAGCAAGAAATCTTTGAATACATTTAGTAGAAATTAGTAAAAATCAATATGCTTCATTCATCTGCAATGATTCATTTCACATTAGGTTAGTTATGAATTTATGGGTGACAAAGACATGAAGTTAAGGAAATTACGTCAAAAGTTTGGAACCCATTTTTCAAAGATTATTTGTGGTTTACAGATAATATAAATGGTTAATGTGCACCACAAATCATATGTTCTTCATATATACAACAACTTCTGTTTATCAGGAAAAAAGAAATGCCCATTCATTATGACTCTTTGATTCTAAAGGGCACATACTAGAGATAACTAGCTACTGATTAAAAGAATGTGATTATTCTCCTGATTAATCGCTGCTTTTATTTCTTGAAGAATTTCTTTTGACAGTTTTGGCCAAAAATCAAATGATAGAAACTTTGGTGGGATAAGAAGTATATTTCTGTTTGTTTGTTTGCATAGAGAGTGATGTCTTTCTGGGCAAAAGGTTAGCAACAACTCATGTTATGTCCCAAACATTATTTCCTGGTGATAAAATGAATAATTAATAGCAGTTTATCCACCATGTTTAAATAAATGAGCTAAAATTTTATAAATTCATTTGTGGGTTTTCCTCTTCTTTCCTATATATGTATTTTTTTTCCTTAGTAGCCTTGATTGTCGAAGGAGAAAATTACCCAGTTTTAAGAAGCAGTTACCCAGATGCCTTTTGTGTGGCTTATACTCTCCCAACTCTAATTCATGCATTCTTCAATGAGCATAGAGCAGTTACTCCTCTAAAGAATTAAGTGAGGAATGAGTGCAAGTAAATTGCCAGGGCTGTCATTTGGATCACTGACTTGCATCGTAGTTTGCAGGACTCTAACCCTCCAGAATTTCAATACAGAGCACAGTTAATTTGTACTGAGTTGACTTTTCAAATCTGATGGGTTATAACTGCTTCAGGGAAAGTGGGAACCACAGGAAATGAGAGCAAGCCAGCAAGCATGTAAATAAACTTTGCCCTCCCTTCTCCTTACCCCATCATGCAAATTAACATATGACAAACCACATTATATAAACAATTGAAAAGAGCCAAATGGGTAACAAAAGAAAGCATTAAAAAGCTTCACAAATGGAAATTTGCCCATTATTTAGTTATTTAATATTCAGAGTAGGCAAGCTGATTAGCTGTAGCCAGTTAGAATGTGACATTAATTGCCAGCTTTACCTGATATTGTCAGACATCAACACCATTTTTAAATAAAGATACAAAGTACTGCTATAACAAGTCATGTTATGGATATGTAACATTAATAGAAATGACTACATCCAGTACATTATGATAACAATAGCTGGCAGCAATATTCATTAATAGCATCCAGCCAGTCTGGGCAACAACGCATTAAAATCACAGCATGCCCAGATTATATAGGTAGCTGTGGATTATATTCCATCAAGCAATTAGTTGTGATTCTATCAAGGGCATAAGTGACAAAAATAACTCCTTTATGCTCAGAATGAAAAAAAATAATAATTTGTATCAAATAATAAAACTGTACCTGTTTTCTGCAGATGAAATTGCAAAACAAACAAACAAAAAACAAACAAACAAACAAACAAAACTGCTTGCCAGATAAAATACCTGGCTTTTCTGTGTTGAATAATCATTATTTAGAAAATTTATTTCCCTTTGATGAGTGAAATTCTTAACCTAGTAAGCCATAGAAGAACTAAACATATTAAAAGACTACTTTGCAGTCATTTTCATTCTAAACGAGAATGTTCTTTTAGTGAATTCCATAGAGGAATATTAGTCTGGCAATGTCAAATTCTTCTTTTTTAAAGTAGTAAGGCTATCATGATATTCAAGGCCCTAAAATTCAGTTTCAATCATTGAACATCTCTACTATACAAATGCCAGCCAGTCAGGGAACACATGTCATTTGAAGGTAGCTAGGCTAATATGTTTTACCATGGGGTTAATTCACCATGTGATATTTTGTTACATAATTATATTATTTATAAATATATGAAATATATTTTAAATGTTTATGTAAATAAATGCCTATTTCATTTATGTAAATATAAATGAAAATTCATAAAATGTATTTTCCCCGAAGTTGAAAACATAAATAATTTTTTTAATTACAATTCAAATTTGCTGGAAAATATTTAAGCTTTTAACATTTTAATGTTAGTGATACAAAATCTGAGTGATTTCAAAGTCAAAAGGAAGTAGAAACTAAACTTAATTACTTGCCTTATGAATTTTTTAAAAGTTTTATTAATTAGGGTAAATTATCTCAGTTTTTAAATAATCTATAATGGATGTTAGCGATCCATCCATCCTTCCAGAAGAAGATCTGTAATATCTTCTTGTTATTATGTTCTAAAGTCTTACTTATTGATTAGACATTTATTTCATTGTCAATTATCTTAACATAAAAGTTTGAAAGAAAAAAGAAACTGCATTTATGTACATTAACCCTCTCTGAATTTAGCATACCAGAATAACTGCCATGGAAAACAGAATTATAAATTCAAAATATATATACAGAGATTATCATTTATCATTTCTTTAGATTAAGAACTACGTAGTTCTATTATTATAACGAAATAACAAAGGAATTGAAAATAACTTGATTCTCTTTATAATGATTATATTCTATAGAAGGGGGAAAATTAAGCAGTGAAGTCTTTCTGATTTTACGAAAACTTTAAAGACATATATATATACACACACACACATATATACACACACACACCACACACACACACATAATTGGGGTCCTTACCTTGTTCAAACTCCGGGCAGCGCTATCTTTTCCACCTGGGGTCAAGTTCCGAAGTTGTACATCTAGGAGGCCTACCAGCTGATCCATGGCCCGGACAGAGTAGCTGATGTCCCCAGCATTCAAGTGATTTCTTGTCTGTTCAGCCAGCTCTCTAGCAATGTTGGCAGCTGTCTCACCAGATTTCAACTATAATTTTTAAACGGAATACAAAGGAAAGAGATCTCACATAAATACTTTTATTGGTTTCTTTCAATGATCATGTTTGCATGTAATTGTAATGATTGATTAAAGAAACAGTTGTTAAACTCCATCTTCATCTGGAATACACTCCCCAATTTTTCCTGCGAATTCATCTTTTTCTTCAAAACTTGACTTTAAACTCATGTCTTCAGAAAGCTCCTCCTGAGGAAACTTACTTTGAAAAATCATGTTTACCTTAATTATCTATTTGGGTAGTTAAGTCTAAGGTTTGCCCTGTGGTTTTTCTCTGTGAGTTTCTGAAGTTGACTTAGTTGCTTGTGTGTTGTGGATCCCCAACCACATTGTAAGTTCTCAGAGGCACGTACACATTTTCCTTTGTGTCTAGTTTAGCACTTAGTTCACAGTGAATACTCATCAGCTGCTAAGCTCTGTGAAAATTCTACCAGAAATAAAATCTGGGCTTTTCAAAGTGATTTTCGTCTTCTTACTAACTGAATAAGGAATTTCTCTCCCAGTATGTTATTGCTTAGTTTCTAGTATTTTTTTTCTCTGAAAGTACATGCTGATTTTTCAAGTACATTCCACAAGAATATGTCAAATTGTCAACACTCCAAAAATATTAAAATAGATAAAGACCTAATACGTCATCATCATTAGAACAAATTTGTTAGCCATGGGTAATTCAAACATAGGAATATATATTAATTGGTAAGAAAGTCATGAGAAACAAGAATGAGTAAATAAGTGTAATTTCCCAAGTTATACTCTTCCTTGTTTTGAAATTAAAAAAGTAAAACAGGACTATAACACATTTACATTAAATAAATAAAAAGTGTACAAAGTAAAAATAATGAACACCTCTATTTCACCTTTCTATATTCTCACTTTCCAGAGACTCTTTATTTATTTATTTATTTATTTATTATTTATTTATTTATTTATTTTTGAGACAGAGTTTCCCCTTTGTCACCCAGGCTGGAGTGCAATGGCGCAATCTCTCGGCTTACTGCAACCTCTGCCTCCTGGGTTCAAGCGATTCTCCTGCCCCAGCCTTCCGAGTAGCTGGGATTACAGATGCCTGCCACCACGCTCAGCTAATTTTTGTATGGGGGTTTCATTCACCATGTTGGCCAGGCTGGTTTTGAACTCCTGACCTTAGGCAATCTACCCGTCTCGGGCTCCCAAAGTGCTGGGATTACAGGTATGAGCCACCGCGCCCAGCTTTTTTTTTTTTTTTTTCTTTGGTAAGGCAGGTCTCACTGTCACCCAGGCTGAAGAAGTTCAGGGGCACAATCATAGCTCATCACAGTTCACTGTAACCTTGAACTCCTGGGCTCAAGGCATCCTCCCAGCTCATCCTTCAACGTAGCTGGGACTACGGGTGTGCACCCACTATGCATGGCTAATTTTTTTTTTTTTTTTTTTTTTTAATTTTGTAGAGATGGGGCTCCTGGTCTTATGCTATCCTTCTACTTTGGCCTCCTAAAGCGCTGAGATTATAGTTGCAAGTCTCTAGGAGTTTCTTAATAATTTGATATTATCTTTTCAAACTTTAATCTGTCCTACTGTCAGAGGCCTTACAACCAGAGTAACTGCATTTTGAGTGAGGGCTAAGAAAATGAGGCCGGGACTCGCTGACTTGCATTCTCAGAAAGTTAGGCATTCCTAGCTTCTAGATATTTATGGTTAAGGGAACAAACTAGTAATGTTTGCTAAACAGACGCAGCCTTGGGAGATATCCCGATATCCAGAGAACAAAGGCATTCCTAATTTTGCTTTAAAGACAATAATACTAATTTTTGCAAAATATAGTAATTAAGAAAAGTAGCCAGATGCGGTGGCTCCCAGCCTTTTGGGAGGCTGAGGCGGGCGGATCACGAAGTCAGGAGATCGAGACCAGCCTGGCCGACATGGGGAAACCCCGTCTCTACTAAAAATACAATAAATTAGCCGGGTGTGGTGGCAGACGTCCTTAGTCCCAGCTACTCGGGAGGCTGAGGCAGGAGAATGGCAGGAATACGGGAGGCGAAGCTTGCAGTGAGTCGAGATCGTGCCACTGCACTCCAGCCTGGGTGACAGAGCGAGACTGCGTATCCAAAAAAAAAAAAAATAAAGACAGAAAAGAAAATTAACGCTTTATCACAAACCTTTGGAGCATAGCACATCTCCCCAGTATCTCTTTTTATCTCATATATATAAATACACACACACACACACACATATACAAGCACTGGGCTGGGCACGGTGGCTCATGCCTGTTATTCCAGCACTTTGGGAGGCTGAGGCGGGTGTATCACGAGGTCGAGTTTGAGGCCAGCTTGGTCAACATGGTGACACCCCGTCTCTAGTAAAAATACAAAAATTAGCCGGGCGTGGTGGTGCGTGCCTGTAATCCCAGCTACTTGGGAGACTGAGGCAGGAGAATTGCTTGAACCCAGGAGGCGGAGGTTGGCCTGAGCTCAGATTGCACCACTGCACTCCAGCCTGGGTGACAGAGCCAGACTCTTATCTCAAAAACAAACACACTAACTAACTAACTAACTAACTAACTAACTAGAAAAAATATACATATAAAAGCATTTTATCTAGGGTGGATGCTTTCCTCCTCTTACTTTTGGGAACGTCCTACACTGCCTATGGAATAGCTATCCTTTCACCACTGTACTTTCTTAATCAACTTGCTTTTGCTTTGCACTGCGGACTCGCTCTAAATTCTTTCTTGGGCAAGATCCAAAAGCCCCCTCTTGGGGTCTGGATCCGAAGCCTTTTCCTGTAACACCATTAATATTTAAATATATAATAGTGTCATTATGTACAAAATTATTTTCTTCCCCTTTTTAAAGGTAGTCCAACACAGAAAATGGGAACACAAAGAGAAAGCCATACTCTCTGTAAGTTGTTTCACTAATGGCTATTCAGAAAGCTAAAAGGGGGACAAGTAAAACTCTTATTTAAATAGGTAGGTTATCGGTTATAATGATCTACTTGGGATGCTTAGCGTTTGTATCAGGATTGAATGTTAAAGAAACAATAAATTAATTAAACTGATTAGAACACCTAAATTATTTACAGTCATATTCTCATGTATATAGAAAAGCCTAACTCAAAAAGTAAAAACAAAACAAAACAAAAAAGATTTAATATCATTAAGTGGTGGCAAGGGTTTGTTTCAACAAATATCACCTTCATAAACTACTATTGGTAGTGTATATTTGTATTGCTCCTATGACAGTAAATTACCATTGTCTATTAAACTTTGACATGTGAAGACTGTGTAACTCAAAGTATCAACCATAAGAAATAATCCCACAGATATACAAAGAGAAATGTTCAAGGATGTTGATTCCAGCTTGTTTATGATAAACAATAAAATGGATTATGACTATATAAAACTCTGCAGGAAGATTCATACCTTGGAATTTTCTTTTAATTAATTTTTTAAATTAAGCCAGTCAAATTTGGCAGTGAGGGGGTTGTATAGCAAGTATATTGACACTAATGTTAATAAATTCTGATAATCCACTACCATCTGATCCATGAAATATTCCATACCATGAAATATTATCCAACAGTTTAAAATTATGAATGAGATCAATAATGTGAAGATTAATCTTCAGGCTATATTGTTGAGTTAAATGCAGATATGAAAGTTATTTACATATACATGCTAATAAATATTTGCATGCTATTGAGAAATATAAACACACTACGTAAGTAATTGTAAATATGCTACTTGTGAAAAAGAAATAATATATACAATATTTGTGTTTATTTATATATGTGCATTTCTATATATTTAAATATATAGAACAAAGCCTAAAAAGGGAGAATCAAAAGAAAAATCCTTACCTATAATGTTAAAATTTTACATGAAAAATATTTTAAACAATTATTATATAATCAATACTTTCTAGAATTTTTTTTTTTTTTGAGACAGAGTCTTCCTCTGTCTCTGAGGCTGGAGAGCAGTGGCATGATCTCAGCTCACTGCAACCTCTGCCTCCCCAGTTCAAGCGATTGTCATGCCTTGGTCTCCTGAGTAGCTGGGATTACAGGTACATGCCACCATGCCCAGCTAATTTTTGTATTTTCAGTAGAGATTAAGTTTCGCCATGTTGGACAGGCTGGTCTCGAACTCCTGATCTCAAGCCATCTGCCCGCCTTGGCCTCCCAAAGTGCCGAGATCACAGGCGTGAGCCACTGCACCTGGTCCAACTTTCAAGAAATTCTTAAAATAGAAAATATCAGGACTGAGTATAAGAAATTTGTAAAATATGGTCAGGGTCTTTTTGCCTAAAATACCTGTAAGACTAAAAGGAATACATTATAGGGTTCAAGGATATGTATGTAACAAATTCAATGTAGATCAAAGTAGCACTCGTGGCCCACTGGTGGGTCATGAATGTACTTTTAAGTGTTTATAAAGTGATACAAATGTGATTAAAGTCCATACGTTTAAATTTCTGTACATAAATTAGGGCTACTTACTGATAATATAGTAAATCAAGTAACACATTCTAAAATTCAGTGTTCATTAATTAATTTAGTGAGATGCCAGTATAGTGTAAGTATTCAAATTCAATATTCCATCAAGAAGTCTGGACACCTGATACAACTGATACTTTGGAAAACTCCCCCACTGGGCATGGAGATATCTAAGATAGCTGGAATTCCTATAATTTTCCAAAGGGACATTATTTTAATTAATGTGCCATTCATAGTGTCTTGCAGGTTATAATTTTTCACCTATTATACTCTTATAATAATGAATATGTTTGTAGAATTACTATTGTTTTATTTTGTTAATCATGGGTTCTTATGTAATTATTTTGTTGTTATTATTATTAAGTTTCTTTCTCTGTCTTTGTTACCATACAATATCATTTCTATAAGAAAAAAAGTCAGTTTGATGGACCTCTGAGGTTTTATGATTCACTACGGTGAATCATAAAATATACTACGGTTTTAAATATACTACGGTGACA